ATTTTTTAAATCCTACAAAACACTTTGGACCCACAAAAAATATCTTAGTTTACCCATTTAGTTTACTCCCATTAAAGATGCTCTAGAGCAACTTTATTGCATTAAACCAAAGTCTTGTATAGCTTACGTTAATAATAAAGAATTTGCATTATATTAGAGCTGACATGGCATCTAAGTGAACTAATATTTAGTTCCCATTATCTATATAGTTAACGTTAATTATGTGAAATATATTATAATATTATTTATTTAATTAATAAAATATTCCAACAGCATTAAAGTAATGGCATGATATTTGAAAATAGTAACAGTCATATTATCATTTTTTACCTTCTATAAATTCTATAGAAACTTTAATTTTTTTGACACACAATTTTACTTAATTTTTTTCTTTCCATTTCCAATCTTATTTATTTATCAAATGGATCCCAACCAATGGAATCCTTATTATAATTATTTACAAACTCCCAGTGACAGTTCTCAAAATTTTCAAATGTGTCCGCGACCATCGCTCCTTATTGGTGACGGTTCTCAAAATCTCCAACCTTTTATGTTTCAATCACCACCATTCTCTACCGGCAACAATTCTCAATATACCCGACCGATTATGTTTCAACCACCACCAACCATCAACGTTGTAGAGTCTCCTAACATTGAATCAGAATCACCAATTGGGTCCACTACAGATTCTCAAGTGCCAGGCAACTCCACTCAGGATGGTTTAGAAAATATTACTTTTACGGGAGAAGGAGAACGTTCAACCCAAATAAAATAGCGTATCAGGTTCTTAGAAGAAGAAGATAAATTGCTTATTCACATGCCTTAACATTTCCAAAGTTTCAATAGTCGGAGTTGACCAAAAAGCAGATAGTTTTTGGGGTAGAATCAAATATGGCTATAACAACTATCGTCGACCACTTATAGCGAGAGAGTGGTCTACACTCAAATCTCGATGGCATCTATTGAATAAACATTGTCAATGGTTTTGCAGAAACTACAAACTAGTTGTTGCTAACAAGAAAAGTGGACAGTCTGAGACAGACGTCACGGAAGAGGCACGTCAAATTTTTGTCCAAGTGCATCATCAACGTTTCACAATGGAGCACGCGTGGAGGTTGTTGAAGGATGAACCTAAATTGAAGGGGCAAGAAATCAACAACTCTTCAAAGAGATCAAAGATATCCTCTACCGGGACATATTCATCGTCATCTAATCCAGAAAATCTCATAGATTGTTCAGAATACAACAGTGCAACTCAGACCGACCGCCCAGCAGGACAAAAGGCGGAATAAAGGAAGGGCAAGGGAAAAGCATCTTCATCTAAAACACCCATAGTGGATTTGACTGGCATGGAAAGGGCCTCAGAAAATAAATTAGCTATCTATGGTAAAATAGCTGAAGCAAAGTTGGCACAGAGCATACCCGTGTTGTATGAAATTCTCATGAAGGACAAATCAGCAATGGATGATGAGCAACGCCGAGAGCATGAAGAAATTTGTCAAAGTATCAAGGAGAAGTACTTAAAGAGAAGCTAGGTGTATTATTATTATTATTATTATTATTATTATTATTATTGTTGTTGTTGTTGTTGTTGTTGTTGTTGTTGTTTAGGTTTAAATATGCATTTCATATTATTGTAATTTTGTTTTAAATGATTGTTATTTAAATATTGTATCTATGTTTCAAATTAGCTATGTAAAACTAGCCGTTGTAAAACTAGCCGTTATAAAAAAACTAGCCGTTGTAAAACTAGCCGTTATAAAAAACTAGCCGTTGTAAAACTAGCCGTTGTAAACTAGCCACTATCAAACTAGTCGTTGTAAACTAGCCGTTATAACGCGGCACGCGGCTTTCCAGGTATGTTGGGTTCAATTGATTGTATGCATTGGGAATGGAAAAATTGTCCTGTCGCATGGAAAGGTCAATTTTCTAGAGGTGATCATGGTAAAGCCACAATCATGCTTGAAGCTGTGGCATCTCAAGACTTGTGGATTTGGCATGCATATTTTGGAAATGCGGGTTCTAACAACGACATTAATGTGTTAAACACGTCTGATGTGTTTAATGATGTTTTGAATGGAAAAGCTCCTACAGTACAATACTCGGCGAATCGAACAACATATCATATGGGGTACTACCTAGCGGATGGCATTTATCCGGAGTGGGCAACATTTGTCAAGACCATCCCTATGCCGCAAGGAGAAAAGAGAAAGTTATTTGCCCAACGACAAGAATCAGCACGGAAGGATGTTGAATGGTCATTTGTGGTGCTCCAAGCCCGATTCGCTATTATACGTGGTCCAGCGTGTGCTTGGCATGTGAATACAATGAAACACATAATGTTAGCATGTATCATATTGCATAACATGATTGTCAAAGATGAGGGAGACACATATGCTGGTAATTTTGATTACGACCATGTTGATAATAATTTCTCCACAACTGAAGTATCTACTGGTCCAATTCCCAACTTGACAACAATGTTTGAAAGGATAGCACATGTTCATCAAAGGCAAAATCATCGCCAACTTCAAGCAGACTTGGTGAAACATATTTGGGAGAGATATGGTCATGAGAACAACGAAAGTTAGTTTGTCCTATTTTATATTTCTGTTAAAATATAATTTGTTGCTTATTGTCATGTATTATTTTATATTCCTATGAAAATGTATTTTTTTTCTGTATTATTGTTGTGAATTTTTTATCATTTTTAATTTTATAATAAAATATATTTAATATTGTTTCTAAGTTTTTAAGGTAAATTTTATTTAAAAAATTGTATGCATTTTAATTAAAATAATTAAATTAATGGTAACATGAATAAAAAATATAAAATGTGGGGTCAAGTTTTGGTTTCTTATAGACAACCATCATTAAAGTAAAAACTACTCAAATCAACTATAAATTTTTTAAATCCTACAAAACACTTTAGACCCACAAAAAATATCTTAGTTTACCCATTTAGTTTACTCCCATTAAAGATGCTCTAGAGCAACTTTAGTGCAGGGTTGTTAAACCAAAGTCTTGTATAGCTTACGTTAATAATAAAGAATTTGCATTATAGTAGAGCTGACATGGCATCTAAGTGAACTAAAATTTAGTTCCCATTATCTATATAGTTAACCTTAATTATGTGAAATATATTATAATATTATTTATTTAATTAATAAAATATTCCAACAGCATTAAAGTAATGGCATGGTATTTGAAAATAGTAACAGTCATATTATCATTTTTTACCTTCTATAAATTCTATAGAAACTTTAATTTTTTTGACACACAATTTTACTTCAAAATTTTTTTCTTTCCATTTCCAATCTTATTTATTTATCAAATGGATCCCAACCAATGGAATCCTTATTATAACTATTTACAAACTCCCAGTGACAGTTCTCAAAATTTTCAAATGTGTCTGCGACTATCGCTCCTTATTGGTGACGGTTCTCAAAATCTCCAACCTTTTATGTTTCAATCACCACCATTCTCTACCGGCAACAATTCTCAATATACTCGACCGTTTATGTTTCAACCACCACCAACCATCGACGTTATAGAGTCTCCTAACGTTGAATCAGAATCACCAATTGGGTCCACTACAGATTCTCAAGTGCCAGGCAACTCCACTCAGGATGGTCTAGAAAATATTACTTTTACGGGAGAAGGAGAACGTTCAACCCAAAAAAATCAGCGTATCAGGTTCTTAGAAGAATAAGATAAATTGCTTATTCAGACATGCCTTAACATTTCCAAAGTTTCAATAGTCGGAGTTGATCAAAAAGCAGATAGTTTTTGGGGTAGAATCAAATATGGCTATAACAACTATCGTCGACCACTTATAGCGAGAGAGTGGTATACACTCAAATCTCGATGGCATCTATTGAATAAACATTGTCAATGGTTTTGCGGAAACTACAAACTAGTTGTTGCTAACAAGAAAAGTGGACAGTCTGAGACAGACGTCATGGAAGAGGCACGTCAAAATTTTGTCCAAGTGCATCATCAACGCTTCACAATGGAGCACACGTGGAGGTTATTGAAGGATGAACCTAAATGGAAGGGGCAAGAAATGAACAACTCTTCAAAGAGATCAAAGATATCCTCTACCGGGACATATTCATCATCATCTAATCCAAAAAATCCCTCAGATTGTTCAAAATACAACAGTGCAACTTAGACCGACTGCCCAGCAGGACAAAAGGCGGCAAAAAGGAAGGGCAAGGGAAAAGCATCTTCATCTAAAACACCCATAGTGGATTTGACTGGCATGGAAAGGGCCTAAGAAAATAAATTAGCTATCTATGGTAAAATAGCTGAAGCAAAGTTGGCAGAGAGCATACCCGTGTTGTATGAAATTCTCATGAAGGACAAATCAGCAATGGATGATGAGAAACGCCGAGAGCATGAAGAAATTTATCAAAGTATCAAGGAGAAGTACTTCAAGAGAAGCTAGGTGTATTATTATTATTATTCTTGTTGTTGTTGTTGTTGTTGTTGTTTAGGTTTGAATATGCATTTCATATCATTGTAATTTTGTTTTAAATGATTGTTATTTTAATTTTATATCTATGTTTCAAATTAGCTATGTAAAACTAGCCGTTATAAAAAAAACTAGCCGTTGTAAAACTAGCCGTTATAAAAAACTAGCCGTTGTAAAACTAGCCGTTGTAAACTAGCCGTTGTAAAACTAGTCGTTGTAAACTAGCCGTTATAACGCGGCACGCGGCTTTCCAGGTATGTTGGGTTCAATTGATTGTATGCATTGGGAATGGAAAAATTGTCCTGTCGCATGGAAAGGTCAATTTTCTAGAGGTGATCATGGTAAAGCCACGATCATGCTTGAAGCTGTGGCATCTCAAGACTTGTGGATTTGGCATGCATATTTTGGAAATGCGGGTTCTAACAACGACATTAATGTGTTAAACACGTCTGATGTGTTTAATGATGTTTTGAATGGAAAAGCTCCTACAGTATAATACTCGGTGAATCGAACAACATATCATATGGGGTACTACCTAGCGGATGGCATTTATCCTGAGTGGGCAACATTTGTCAAGACCATCCCTATGTCGCAAGGAGAAAAGAGAAAATTATTTGCCCAACGACAAGAATCAGCACGGAAGGATGTTGAACGGGCATTTGGAGTGCTCCAAGCCCGATTCGCTATTGGACGTGGTCCAGCGCGTGCTTGGCCTGTGAATACAATGAAACACATAATGTTAGCATGTATCGTATTGCATAACATGATTGTCAAAGATGAGCGAGACACATATGCTGGTAATTTTGATTACGACCATTTTGATAATAATTTCTCCACAACTGAAGTATCTACTGGTCCAATTCCCAACTTGACAACAATGTTTGAAAGGATAGCACATGTTCATCAAAGGCAAAATCATCGCCAACTTCAAGCAGACTTGGTGGAACATATTTGGGAGAGATTTGGTCATGAGAACAACGAAAGTTAGTTTGTCCTATTTTATATTTCTGTTAAAATATAATTTGTTGCTTATTGTCATGTATTATTTTATATTCCTAGGAAAATGTAATTTTTTTCTGTATTATTGTTGTGAATTTTGTATCATTTTTAATTTTATAATAAAATATATTTAATATTGTTTCTAAGTTTTTAAGGTAAATTTTATTTAAAAAATTGTATGCATTTTAATTAAAATAATTAAATTAATGGTAACATGAATAAAAAATATAAAATGTGGGGTCAAGTTTTGGTTTCTTATAAACAACCATCATTAAAGTAAAAACTACTCAAATCAACTATAAATTTTTTAAATCCTACAGAACACTTTGGACCCACAAAAAATATCCTAGTTTACCCATTTAGTTTACTCCCATTAAAGATGCTCTAGAGGAACTTTAGTGCAGGGTTCTTAACCCAAAATTTTGTATAGCTTACGTTAATAATAAAGAATTTGCATTATAGTAGAGCTGACAGGGCATCTAAGTGAACTAAAATTTAGTTTCCATTATCTATATAGTTAACGTTAACTATGTGAAATATATTATAATATTATTTATTTAATTAATAAAATATTCCAATAACATTATAGTAATGGCATGATATTTGAAAATAGTAACGGTCATATTATCATTTTTTACCTTCTATAAATTCTATAGAAACTTTAATTTTTTTTACACACAATTTTACTTCTAAATTATTTTCTTTCCATTTCCAATCTTATTTATTTATCAAATGGATCCCAACCAATGGAATCCTTATTATAATCATTTACAAACTCCCAGTGACAGTTCTCAAAATTTTCAAATGTGTCCGCGACCATCGCTCCTTATTGGTGACGGTTCTCAAAATCTCCAACCTTTTATGTTTCAATCACCACCATTCTCTACCGGCAACAATTCTCAAATACCAGACCGTTTATGTTTCAACCACCACCAACCATCGACGTTGTAGAGTCTCCCAACGTTGAATCAGAATCACCAATTGGGTATGTGAAGGCAAATCGCCACACATCACATGAGTCTGCAAAACATCACTCGATATAGGTTTCGATGATGACGAATTACAACCATGGATGAATTGGCAATTGTAAATTCCAACTCTACCAAAAAAATGCAACGTATCACCTACCATATCCTTTTACATTTGTCTAAAAACTGTTATAATAAATATAATATGTGGAGATAAAATGTGGTCGTGACAAGAGGCATGAAAAACCACAAGAATATCAATTTTTGCAGGTTTGCAGGGCATGAGTCGACCATAGGGTCGGCGCATGCATCAGTGCATTTTTCCACTGGTCAGCGCATGAAGGGTTGAGTCGACCGCAGGGTCGGCGCATGAAGAAATTACTCTTCAACGGGTCAGCGCACGCCGACTGTATGGTCGACGCATACTGATACATTTTGCAGATTTCCAAAAGTGCAGGCTATGCGTCGACGCACAGACCTGCTGTGGTCGACCGTTCGCGCGAAAATGCAGTTTTTAAGTGATTCCCTCTATTATTTGAAAAGTTGTTATGTCTTTGGTTGGTCTGGTACTATATATACAAGTTCAACCACTTATGTCATTTTAACATTTGATAAAAACTGATTCATGTGTTCAAGAATAAGAAAGAGTGAAATAGGTGTCCAAGATTCTTCATCTTCATCTTCAACATCTCACAACACATCAATTTCACACAGCCATTTTTGAAGTGCATTGTGAGTGATTAAAGGTGATAAGGTTCGTAGCTTAGATTGGGTAATCTAGTTTGGGTTGAAGCTTGTGACAGGTTCTTTCTTGAATAAAACCGTTAGGGTTTTATCCTCCAATATTGGTTTGAATTTTAGGGGTTTTTGGACGAGATTCTTCATCAAGGGTCAACTGAGCGAAGGTGATTGTGAAGAGGTGTTCTTCAACAGTCTAGTAGCGGATTCAGCGATATTGAGGGGAAGATATCGGGTTCGATTCGTTGCAGTTGAGATCAGCCGGAGCAGAAGGTTTGAACAACTAGGGGTTATTCAATAAGGTGGCTGGAATCGGAGGTCTATCAACAACAATCGGAGGACTTGATTCATCTTGAATCAAGGGGCAAGGAGTGAAAGCAACATTCAACGTCTTGAGATTTCTGTTGTATATTTGATGTTCAATCCTTGTATAAACTGTTACATTCAACAGGTGATATCTATTAAATCTATCTCAATTCTAGTTTTAGAATTGAGGGAAGACGTACCCCGAAGCGAGGACGACGGGGGAACTGCCTCACCAAATACTTGTCTTCTCTATTTTTCAACATTTTTGTTTTAGCTTAAAAATAAGTGATTTTTGTATAAGCACTATTGTCAAACTGTGATATCAATTGAGTAAGAGGTTAAAAATCTGTTTTTGAATCCAAAGTACAATAAGACATTGTACTAAGGCTAGTTGGAATCACTTACTCAACATAAATATCACTTGGAGTGTTTTGCACACCAAATGTTTGACAAATTGCCTAAACCAAAATTATCTTACTTGTGTATCTAGTTTTGGTTTGCTCTTTAAATCATTGGAACTAGGAATCCTAACAAGTGAATTAGATCATTGATAAGTGTGATTAGTGTTGTGATTCTCTTTTCCATATTGTCATCAATCCAAAGGCTTATCGCATATCCGGTTTTCCAATAACCGTTCGTTTTAGACTATATTTTCCTTGGCCGCTTCTGCACTTAAAACAAAATTTCAAAACCAATTTTTAAATTGGTAGCGCCGACTCTAATTTTAATTGGGATCTATTCAACCCCCCCTTCTAGATCCGTGCCATAGTCTAACAAGTGGTATCTAGAGCTCCGGTTACTCAGTGCTTCAAATACAACATTGATAGAAAATGGCTAACGAACCAAAATGGGCGTACAATAGAGCTCCAGTTTTCAATGGTGAAAATTATAGTTATTGGAAAGACTGTATGCGGGTGCACATAAACTCCATAGACAGAAAAATATGGAACGTTATCCTCAATGGTCCAATAGAAATTACTATGACCAATGCAGATAATGTAGTTGTGCCAAAGCCCGAAGTACAATGGACCGATGACAATGAGAAAAAATACAATTATGATTGGAAAGCCAAAAATATCTCAATCTCCTCATTAGGTGTAGATGAATACTATCGTGTATCCCATTGTGCTACTGCTAAGGCTATGTGGGATTCACTACAAATCGCCCATGAGGGGACGAACGATGTTAAGTTGGCTAGAATCAACACATTAACACAAGAGTTTGATCTCTTTTTCATGGAGCAAGGGGAAACCATTGCTGACATGCAAAAGAGATTTACTCATCTCATCAATCGTTTACATTCATTAGGTAGGCCTGTTTCCAATGATGTTGCTACTAATAAGATCTTGAGATATCTTAACAGGGAATGGTAGCCAAAAGTGACCGCCATCAAGGAAGCACATGATCTTACCTTATTAGACTTGACAACATTGTTTGGCAAACTACAAGAGCATGAACAGGTACTCTTGAGCCTAGACCAACGCGAAAAGATGGAAAAGAAAGACAAAAAGAAGGTGAGTGAAAAGAAACCGATAGCTCTTAAGACTTCCTCCTCGAAGTCTCAAGAAAAAGAGCAAAGTGATTATTCCTCAAGCGGCGAAGAAGAAGAGGATAGGAGCGAAGATATGGGGATGTTCGTTAAACGGTACAACCGTTACGTGAGAAAGAACGGCATCCAACATTCCGAGAAGAACTTGGTAAACTTCTGGAAACAATCGAGGTACTCCAAAGATGATGACCTAAAAGGTAAAAAGACTAGAGGTACGTGCTACAAGTGTGGGAAGCCCGGTCACTACAAACCGGATTGTCCGATGAACAAAAAGGCAAAGGAAAAGGAATCATCAAAGTCATACAAGAAATCATCAAAGCTAAGGAGAGCGTACATAGCGTGGGAAAGCGATAACGACTCTTCCTCCTCTGATGAAAGCTCTAGTGATGAAGAATAGTCCGTGAATCTATGCCTTTCTGATCATCAGAAAAATAAGAAAAAGCAGGTACGTCACTCTAAATATGAGAAGTCCTCAAATATGTCGCATTCAGAATTACAAACCGCATTTAATGCTTTACACAATGAAGCAACTGAAGCCTTTAAGAGACTTGCCTCTAATAAAAGAATTTTTGCTTACTTAGAGCATAAAGTTAAAGAGTCCAAAAAGAAACTAGAGGACCTTAAGGCTTCCATTGTGGAAGGTAATAAATCGGATTGTGAGGACCATAGAAATCCTTTCGACTTTGGATGTGATACTTGTCAGATTTGGCAAGGTGAAGTTAGAAACCTTAAGGCCAAATTAAACAAGGCACTTGAGCCTAATGTTACATTTGCTATTGATAGAAAGGATTTTAGAAAAAGTATGATAAACCCATATCAAAAATATGCATATGTAATTAGGGATCAAGCAAGTAAAAGTGATTCTAAAGTCGATTTTGCATGCTTATATTGTTGCAAGAAAGGCCACTCCATTGCTAAATGTCGATTTAGGAGATTTCTGGTTCCTAAAGGCATCTATCAATGGTTGCCCAAATGCAACCATCTTGTCGCTAACATATTAGGACCCAATATGCCATTGGGTACCTCCTTTTGCTAATTATGTTTTGATAGGTAAAATGTGTCGAGACCATCGAGAGAAGATAGGTTCTCGACAGTGGATGCTCAAGACACATGTCTGGAGACATATCCTTATTCATAGACTTCGTGGCTAAGAAGAAAGGGTATGTAACTTATGGTGATAACAACCGCGGATCAATACTAGGTAAAGGTAGTGTAGGTAATCCCTCTTTTACTACGATTTCCGACGTGTTGCTTGTCGAGGGCCTTAAACATAATCTGCTTAGCATTAGCCAATTATGCGACAAAGGATACAATGTATCATTTTCAAAAGATTGTTGCAAAATTATGCATGATAATGACAAGAAGAATATGTTTAATGGTTTTAGAGTAAACAACGTATATATGCTTGACTTAAATGAAGTATCGTTA